CTTGACTATTTGATTGCCTAACATTGATGTGTATCTGGGTAGATGAGGGAAATGTGTGCATGAGAATTGAAATCCAGTGGGTGACCACTACGAGAGTGGAGAACACCAAGATGTTCATCATACTGTCTCTGCCTGTTGCTCTAGTCGCATTTGAGGCTAGTCCAGCCTTTGTATTATTCTCGAGCATCCTGCCTGGTCTTTGTTCCCATAATTGGTGTCAACTTTGGTGCCTGGTTTTCTCTCCTCATATCTGAGGTCTCAGCATTTCTCATGGCTGCAGTTTGATCTTTACCCTTCTGAGTGGAATCATTCTTGTTAACGTTAGCTGCTATGTATTAACTGCTGACTCCAGGGAACTATCATAAGTAAATTTTACAGCATGTTTTCTAGGTCTTGGCTTCTGTGAGGGCCCTTACATCCTCTTCATCTTGCTCTTTTCTCCTCCTCCTCATTTCTTTGCTCAGCTTCTAGTGGGTTAGGCCATTTCTCCCTGTTGTTAGTTTGTGGGCATTTTATCTTTTCAGCCTATAACTCCCAACTTGGAAACTTCCTTGAAGATGAGACCCTGGAGCTAACTGTCCTCTGGATATCTAGATCTAGAGCATCCACAGTCATCTAAAACCTGAACTATCCCAAAGTAAACATTTTTCTTTTATATTACCTCCCTGTATTCCATAGTTCATGTGGTAGTATTTATATTTGCCTGCCACTCAACCTAGAAACCTACAAATCGTCTTACACTGAGAAAACTTTTTATTTTTACCTTTCTTGAAAAAGAGTTTTGTTGTACTTATCTATCTGTGTGTGTCTGTGTATCTCTCTCTGTGTGTGTGTGTGTGTGTGACAGAGAGAGAGAGAGAGAGAGAGAGAGAGAGAGAGAGAGAGAGAGAGAGACTCATGTACCATGGCACACAAGTGAAGGTCAGAGGACAACTTGAAGGAGTCAGGTCTCTCCTTTTACCATGAGGGTCCCAGGGATCAAAACTCAGGTTGATGCCATATTGTCTCTTGTGTCAAAATAGCTTCTCTCTAATGTTATTCTACTGAAAAAATATTCTCATTAACAAGATTTAAAGCCATGCTTCAACAGATAGAGTCTTCTCAGTGTCTGGTGAAGAAAAGTTATTTTCCTGTTGTGTTGCCTCATATTAATAGATGGAAAACAAGAGAGTAAATGTCAGTAAGAATTTACGGAAGCAGTTTTATTAATTTAGCTTATGCAAGCTCCCTTCTGCCCTGTTCCCAATCTTAGTTTAATGAAATATGTTTAAAGACATGCAATTCTTTTATTGTTGTATTAGTAGGATTCTCATTTAATTAAATTATGATGGGTTTTCTTTTCCTTACTATAGATAAAAAAACAATGAAAAACAATTATAGCAAAATCTCATTATTTCCCCCTAGCATTTTGAAATTATTTCTAGATTAAAATTAGTGCTAATAGCACAGGATTATATGGAAGCTTTCTTTATGATATGAATGTACTATGAATAAAGCTTTAGGTAAATAAACACGTTATTTTATCTAAAGAATTGACTATCTCATACTACAAGAACTACAAAAGCTTTTCTGATGCTGATGGTTAGACCTTTATAAGTTATTGGCATTATTTACAAAGACCACAGAGGCACAGCATGAAGCAATGCTTAGAGCCATTTAAGGACCAGAGAAACTCAATTTTGCCTATTTGGTTTTTTTGTCAGTTAGCTTGTTTAAATGTGATTGCTTCACAGAAAATGATCATCTGGAAACTTCAATGAGAATCCCAGGGCATTGAAGAGATTGAGTTCATTATCTGACTCTTATGTCCCCCTTGGACTTTGAAGCCAACTTTTGACTTAGGAGACAACAGCATCACAATGTGATATTTTATCCTGGTAGAATTCAGCCTTTAGTCTTTCCTAACAGTAAAGAAATTTAGCTTGGGAAGGATTAAAATTTACTTGTTCTATCAGAATCTCTTAGATACATGTTCTGACTGATGGAGTCCTTTCCATCACCTGTGAAATCTGGAAAGGGCACACTTGAACTGAGATCAAACCTGGCTCTTCTTGGGACCTGCCCAAGTGCTGGAAGGTCTGAACTTCACAATACACATACAACTGCAGAGGATCTGCTCATTATATAGAGTTTTTTGGAGATTTATCAATAGGGAAGGCCCATAACCAACACTTTATTCTGCAATTGTATTGTTGTAGTGAGTACAGGTATGGGTTGTAGGGCACTGTCCAGGAGGCTATAGGAGTCAATTTGTTCCAAGAGAGACTTGAGTCTCCCTGTCCAGCAAGACATCAAATGATGTCCCTACTCTTTTTCCCTGCCTGCCCAAGCAAGAACATTGCAGGAACAGTATGAGGATTGCTGTCCAAGGCCAAACATTTTCTTTCTCCATGGCAGAACTAGAGCAATTATCAGTATCCTGAATCTTTTCCAGCATATTTTAATATAAATAATCTTGGCTCTAGCCATCAGTAGACATACTAATTACTTGTTTGCACGTGCATGGCCAGTTTCTCGCTCACTTGGGGACTTATAATAATTGGATTTTATCTTTCATGAGATGACAACATGGGAATCACATCTTTTTCAGGGTCCAAATTTTAAGACACTTTGGGATATGTTTTATAATAACATATGATTTTCAAGTCCAGCCAAAAACCTGACATTATGGAGCAGGTGGATTCTTTTATAGGCTTGACAGAAGCAGCCTTCACTTGAAATCTTTTACTAGTGGCATAGACTTGATTTCAGGAACGATCATTACAGAGAAGAGAGACTTATATAAGAAAGCCATTCTTGCAATGGCAGCTTGTTCTCATAGATAAGTGGTGTCTCAAGCTAGGACTGCAGTGTCAGAACATGGACAGTGTTACTGCAATTGCACACACAGGATTGAAGAACCAAATTTGCACTTCGAGGAACACTGATTCCCCATTTCCAGTTTCCTAGGAATTGTTGCAGGTTCTATGACTCCTCTGTCAACAATTATATCTGGAATACGATCTCATATAAAATATATTTAATGCAAAGCTCTCATTAGTCTAAAAGACTAGTCAAATGGTTAGCTTGAAAGCTGAAGAGCAGTCTAATTTACCCACACAATTTGGTTTCTTACTTTATTTTACTTGGTAGATTAGTCTCATTTAGCAGTGTAATTAGGCTTCTGCTTTTATGGGCTAGAAAAATATACGCAAACATCTGATATTTCTGAGCATGTGGGCTGTGATGATTTTAAATGTGTTCTAGTGGAGTGTTTGTGTTGAAACAGCTGAAGATTTATTTTTTTTTTTAACTTAAGAATGGAGGAAATTGACCACTATGGGATAATTAAAAATAGCAACTTTCTGGGAAAGCAGGAGCCAAGTTTTCAAATGCCACAGAACCATGGGGCAGTATTCTGTGACCCAAATTGGTTAATTTATATCTGTGTCACTTGAAGATCTGATATGTAGTTGAGTCAATGAATCATCCCACTGGCATGCCATAACTAAGGGAAAATTTATTTGCCTGCAGAGTTTTAGCCAATTAAATAATAAATCACTCTGTGTTATAGAATACAAGATTGACAGGCTGTTAAGGGCTGGATTGATTAGATAATGCTATTGCCCCAGCGGTAGGTTCTACCCTGTTTTAGAAGGTGCCAGCAATGAGGCAGTCCAGATTGGGTTGGTTATACTTTTCAGTGCTGAAAGTGGTGATAGCACTAGCATGTCTCAAAATATTTTCAACTTAATGTTGAAGGTTTCACTGTAACACTGAGGAGTAAAGTGTGAGTTAACTTCTTGTTGACTCCAAATATTCCTGTGGATGGCCCAACAGGCACAGTGGATAAAGAAATATAATCTCCAGAAGATAATCTTTATAAGGGCTTACCATTTACAAACCAAATGATCATGAGTGTTTTTTCTCTTTTGAGTATCATGATAACACTGAATATTAATATAAGCATTATGCATTTGAATCTTATTTGAGAACAGAATTTAAAATCTAGAGAGGTTAAGTAACATAACAGATTATATATATATATATATATATATATATATATATATATATATATGATATATGAGTTGAATAAAGAAAACTTAAGGACTACATATTTTGCCTTGAGGACAATGTCCTTTGAAGAATTCATACTCCTATACTCATACTGCGCTGGTGTGCTTATGAGATCTAGTGCTCTAAGCACATTAAATATGCATTTTAGAAACATATTCCTGGGAGAATAGTCTGAATGAGTAATGTAGCTGGGAACTTTATTAAACTTCATTAAAATGAAGAATCATCCAGGTTTAAGTGGAAGGGGTCAGATGCTTAGTGTAAGTGAGTTTGGCAGCAACAGGTATAGTAGACAGTCCAAGACAAAAATGAAATCCATCATCTTGCAATTATGAGCATCTAGAGGACATAAAGGACCTGCAGTTTAGGAGGGATGATAAGTGAGAAGGGAAGAGCCTTATGACACATGCTGAACACAGCCTGGCAGATGCTGTTGGTAGAGGTTCTTAAGAAAGTGTACATAGCAGGTGAGCTTGTGTGGGAGGAGAGGGCTCACTGGTGACTTCAGGATGAACTAGTTCCCAGAGTTGGAACAAGGCTTTCCCTGGGGCTAAATCCCAACTCTTTGAGAAGCTAGCCAAGTGAGAAGTGGTAAGCAAAGCAGATGTGGTGCCTTTTAAATGAATTACAATGGGGTTATACATGACAATAAATGACTTGATTCTGGAAAAAAAATCTGAAAATAGCATGGCTTCAGATGAGCTGAAGCTGCGTTTTGTTCTTAGTATTTATATTAATTTGGAGCATTTGTAAACAAGGTTTACCCTTGGAACCCAATGATATTAATTCTCTCAGTAATCTATCTTCTACAACAGTGCAAAGGTAAATTTCAGGCTAGCTTCTGTTTGGATAATCAGACAATCTATACAGAGTTTGAGAAGTCCCTGTTACTGAATTTGTGTTTTCTTAAAGAGATTGATCATTCTTTTCTGACTGTTTTCTAGGATCCTTCAAACCAAAAATGTGGTGGAAGAAAGAAGACAGTGTCCTTCAGCAGCATGCCTTCAGAGAAGAAGATTAGCAGTGCCCATGACTGCATCAGCTTCATGCAGGCTGGCTGTGAGCTGAAGAAAGTGCGGCCAAACTCCCGCATCTACAACCGATTTTTCACCCTAGACACAGACCTCCAGGCTCTACGCTGGGAACCTTCCAAGAAAGACCTGGAAAAAGCCAAGCTGGACATTTCTGCCATCAAGGAGATCAGACTGGGGAAGAACACAGAGACATTCAGAAACAACGGCCTTGCTGACCAGATCTGTGAAGACTGTGCCTTCTCTATACTCCATGGGGAAAATTATGAGCCCCTGGACCTAGTTGCCAATTCGGCAGATGTAGCAAACATCTGGGTGTCAGGGTTACGGTACCTGGTCTCGCGCAGTAAGCAACCACTTGACTTTATGGAGGGGAACCAGAACACACCACGGTTCATGTGGCTGAAATCGGTGTTTGAAGCTGCCGATGTTGATGGGAATGGGATAATGTTAGAAGACACTTCCGTGGAGTTAATAAAACAACTCAACCCTACTCTGAAGGAATCTAAGATCAGGTTAAAGTTTAAAGAAATCCAGAAGAGCAAAGAAAAGCTAACCACTCGGGTGACAGAGGAGGAATTTTGTGAAGCTTTTTGTGAACTTTGCACCAGGCCAGAAGTATATTTCTTACTTGTACAGATATCTAAGAACAAAGAGTATCTAGATGCTGATGACCTCATGCTTTTTCTAGAAGCTGAGCAAGGGGTCACCCATATCACTGAGGATATGTGCTTGGATATCATTAGGAGATATGAACTTTCTGAAGAAGGCCGTCAGAAAGGGTTTCTTGCTATTGATGGTTTTACCCAGTATTTATTATCTCTAGAATGTGACATTTTTGATCCAGAGCAAAAGAAGGTTGCCCAAGATATGACCCAACCCTTATCACATTACTACATCAATGCATCCCATAATACCTACCTGATAGAGGATCAGTTCAGGGGTCCAGCGGATATCAATGGGTATGTGAGGGCTTTGAAAATGGGCTGCCGAAGCATTGAGCTTGATGTGAGTGATGGTTCAGACAATGAGCCCATCCTTTGCAATAGAAACAACATGGCCATGCACCTTTCCTTTCGCAGTGTTCTAGAGGTAATTAATAAGTTCGCCTTTGTTGCCTCAGAGTACCCACTCATTCTCTGCTTGGGGAATCACTGTTCTCTGCCGCAGCAGAAAGTCATGGCCCAGCAGATGAAAAAAGTATTCGGCAATAAACTCTATACAGAAGCACCTTTGTCATCGGAATCCTACCTCCCATCACCTGAAAAACTAAAAAATATGATCATTGTGAAAGGAAAGAAATTGCCTCCAGAGTCAGATCTGTTGGAAGGAGAAGTGACTGATGAGGATGAAGAGGCTGAAATGTCCCGGCGGATGTCGGGGGATTATAATGGTGAGCAGAAACATATTTGGCTCTGCCGGGAGCTCTCTGATTTGGTATCCATCTGTAAGTCTGTCCAGTACAGGGATTTTGAACTGTCTATGAAAACCCAGAATTACTGGGAAATTTGTTCATTTAGTGAAACAGAGGCCAGCCGAATTGCAAATGAATACCCAGAAGATTTTGTGAATTACAACAAGAAGTTCTTATCAAGGATCTACCCCAGTGCCATGAGGATAGATTCCAGTAATTTGAACCCACAGGATTTCTGGAATTGTGGCTGTCAGATTGTTGCAATGAATTTTCAAACTCCGGGTCCAATGATGGACCTCCACACTGGCTGGTTTCTTCAAAATGGAGGGTGTGGCTATGTTCTGAGGCCATCTATCATGCGAGATGAAGTTTCGTACTTCAGTGCAAATACAAAGGGCATTGTGCCTGGAGTGTCTCCCTTGGTCCTCCACATTAAGATCATCAGTGGTCAGAACTTCCCAAAGCCCAAGGGAGCTTGTGCCAAAGGGGATGTCATAGACCCCTATGTTTGTGTAGAGATTCATGGAATTCCAGCTGATTGTGCTGAGCAAAGAACTAAAACTGTACAACAGAACAGCGATAATCCCATTTTTGATGAAACTTTTGAGTTTCAAGTCAACCTTCCTGAGCTGACCATGGTCCGTTTTGTTGTTTTGGATGATGACTACATCGGGGATGAGTTTATAGGGCAATACACAATACCATTTGAATGTCTGCAGCCTGGTTACCGGCATGTTCCCCTGCGCTCCTTTGTTGGGGATATCATGGAGCACGTGACCCTTTTTGTCCACATAGCAATAACTAATCGAAGTGGAGGAGGAAAAGCCCAGAAGCGCAGCCTTTCTGCCAGAATGGGGAAGAAAGTTCGAGAATATACTATGCTCAGGAATATCGGTCTTAAAACCATAGATGATATCTTCAAAATAGCAGTTCATCCCTTGCGAGAAGCCATAGACATGAGAGAAAACATGCAGGTAGGAAAACAGCCCCATCTTCCCCCATTGCCTCTGGTATTCACACCCATTTAAACTAGTGACTATTGTGGTTTGCTAATAGTTGGTTTGCAAATGTTCAGAAATACTGTGCTTATACATGCACCACTGAATTATGTGTCCTGTCACCTGTGATAAAGCAAGTGGTTTCTTTTTTATATATAATTTTTAATTTAAATTTGAAACAAGCTTGTTTTACATATCAGTCTAGTTCCTGCACCCTCCTGTCCTCCCATTTCCCCCACCAGCCCCTATCCCATCCCCTTTCTGTTCCCCAGGGAGGATGACACCTCTCATGGAGAGTTTTTAAAGTCTGTCATATCATTTGGAGCAGGGCCCAGGCCCTCCCCCAGGTGTCTAGGCTGAGGGAGTATCCCTCTATGTGGAATGGGCTCCCAAAGTCCATTCATATACACTAGGGATAAATACTGATCCGCTACCAAAGGCCCCATACTAACACCACATTCTGGAAACCTGGGTTGGTCCTATGCTGGCTTCCCAGCTATTAGACTGGAGTTTATGAGCTCCCCCTTGTTCAGGTCAGCAGCTTCTTTGGGTTTCTCTAGCCTTGCCTTGATCCCTTTGCTCATCACTCCTCCCTGTCAAGCAGGTGGTTTCTAACTGTGAATGCAAGGCTGAGTTTGGCTATTTAGTGGGTCAGCAATATAACAAATTGCTGAGTATCTTTTCAATATGTTTAGCATGTAATAATTGATTGACAGGAATATGTACATGAACAGTGTGGAAAAGGTAAAATATAAAATATGTAAGTAGGGCCTGGGGACATGGCTCAGTTGAGTAGGAGCACTTGCTAAGCAAGCATGAGGACCTAGGTTCAAACCTCCAGCACCCATATAAAAAGTTGTGTGTGGCTGAATGTACTTGTAACTTCCTGCTGAGTGTGGTGCAGAGACAGGAAGGTGTCTGGGGCTTGCTGGCCAACAGTCTAGCACGAGGTTCAGTGAGAAACCCTGTCTCAAAGGAGAGGGTGGAGAGTGATACAGATCAGAAGATTCTGCATTCTGCGCTGGTACCTGTGTGGGACATCCTTACCCATCTGACATACACCTGTGGACATACCCTCATGTGGTTAGTATTTAAAATACTTACCCAGACATATGTATGCTATTTGAAAGCAATATATGTAAAATAGTTACTGATATGAATATAGAAGAAAATTAGAAATTATGTTATAAAAGCCATGCCCACTACATTTTTAGTTATTTAGATGTGCACTAACAAATTATTACCAACAACACAGCTTAACACATAGAAGCCGGCAGTTAAATATTTATAAAAAAAAATACAGTTAGCCTTTTCCTAGAAAGGTAACTTAATTGAAAGAATGTAGATCCTGGTGTAAATCTGTCCCCATGTGGTCCTGAACAGATGTCTTATCATCATCAGATTTTCTGCATAAAGCAGGACCATGACACCTACACCACAGGACTGTTGTAAGAACTGAGTGGGAGCATATAGTAATTGTCCAGTGCTGACATGGAGAAACCCAGTGTGCCCTTTCCTTTTTTATGATGCACGATCAGAGATGGTTGCAGACTTCTTTTTCACATTACTTAATATAGTTAATTAAGGAAAGTATTTTAAAGACACGAACAGGCAAGTATTCACTAAGATCTTATGTTACAAAGTAAAAATCATTAAGATTTTCTTCCTTTAACTAACATTCTTATGATACTAACCCACCCAGAAGCTTTGCAATCAGGAAAGGAGACACATTAGAAGGCATTATTTATCAAATCTTGAAGTTAATAAACAACAAAGTTAGACTTTAAACCGAAGAGTGACTAATGCCAAAATCCACTATAATTCATGTGAAGCAGAACCACTGAGCTGTGACTTAATATTAACTCACAGAGAAGTTTCTCAAATAGCCCAAATGGAGGGAAATAGTACAATGTGAAACTCACACATGAGTACCTGTACTTAGAATAAATATGTATTTGATTCAAGGTGGGTTTCTTAACTACTTTGTTAAAGATAGGCTCCAAATATGCTGTTTTATTCTATGTAATCTTTTCTTACACGTATTTGGCATTATTGTAAAACCCTATGCTAGATTGCCTTTCGCAAGTTCTATACCTCCCTGAATTAGAAGTCAAACCTATGTGTTACTGTGTAATTCTTGAAAAACAGCCTTTAACTTATATTTGTAGAAACATCTTAAGAAGAGTATTTGGCTGGGGTGGTGTCACAGCCAGAAGACCATTTGTTGCACAGGCAACAGGCCTGGAGTTTAGATCCCTAGAACCCATTTAGAACGTGGGTGCATGTGGCAAACCTGTAATCACAGAGCATGCAAAAGAACAAGATGGGATCACTGGAGTAGGATGGTGAGCTGGGCTACCTAAACCCAGGGTTTCTGGATCCAGCGAGAGACCCTGCCTCAATACATAAAGAGTGGTCTGAGAAGACACCCCAGTTCCTGCATGCATGCCCCACACATGCACCTGCATACATGTGTGCCCACACATAGAAACATACATGCACACATGTATGCACACTACTTTTGCAGGTAATGTTAATAATTCATGATTTCCTAACAAAGTAGTTTTGGTAAAGGGTTATTTAGAGGGTAATCTGTAAAAAAAAAAAAAAAAAAAAAAAAAACAATACCATGGTAATTAATAAATTCATGAGACATTCAGATGGTTGGTTGATGTTCATTATTAATAAATGTAAAACAGCTATAATTTCTATTCCAAGTTATTACCTTAACATCAGTTTGAGCACATTAATAATAGCTTCAGAGTACCCAAAATGTGTCACTGTCTCATTAAGGAAAAGAAATTATAAAGCACTTTCTATGGTGTAATGTAACCAAGAGTGAGCCCAGATTTGAATTATCAAATTCTTCCTCCCTTTGTCTTCTGTCATTCTGTCATATGAGCTTCACTCTTAGCCTGTCTATCTTTTGAATCTCTTTCTGCCTGTGTTTGTATGCCCCTGTGGATGTCTGTCTCTCTGTGTCCCTAACAAAGAGCTTTTGCTGTGTGTTAACTGAATGGCATGGAAAGCATGGTGGGACACTTAACAGAAACCTTTGATAGAGTTTCACAAGGGACTAAGTCACTGGCTCCATCTGACCCTAACTGACCCAGATAGCAAACAAACAAAGACTACCAAGAAATGTCCATAGGTTGTCTTCAGCATTTATGGCTGATTTTCATTTTATAAGATTTCTTTCAGCCCGTTTGCTCTTTGCAGCATTTATTACCATAACATACCTACATACATGGATTACTCTTGGGTGCATGGAAGAGAAGACAATTTCAGATTAAGCTATGAATTAGTTTAGGTGTAAAAGTGAATTATATGGGAAATCCACAACAAGTAATATTTGTTGTTACGTTGCTTTCTTAGAAGCAGGGTACACAGGAGGATATCAGTTTTAAATGACCTCAAGGTGTGTTAGTAATGCTGACCCTGTCCCAGAAAAAGTTCAAGTCTCTTTGAATGTAAGAGATATTCTCATAATTTTATAGTACCACTATTTTGTCAAAGATTGTAACACCAATGGATAAGATACCCATACAATGCACTTTCTTTGCACAAGGGGCATTTCTGATGGAGTGGCAAGGCAACTTTGCTGGTCAATCAGTTGGAAGCTGGTGAGAGATAATAGCCCACAGCCTTGAGATGCTAAGAGAGATGGCATCTAATACCATGGCATGGTGTTTTTCTGAATTCGAATGAAGCATTCCTATCTGGACACTGCTAGGGTGTTTGTGGATTCAGTTGCTATGTTTGAAAAGCACTGAGCAGCCTCGTCATAGTCTCCTTTGTTTCTGATAGACAACTGTGGCCATTGGTAAACACTAACACCAATGGTCCAGGCTGTGAGTCAACTGTCCGTGTTACCTCTTCATGTCATAGCAGTTTGGGCTGGCTGTGTTCCAGACTGCTCTTTGTTACACGTCTCTAAGGGTGTGATTGGCTGAATTTATTTGTGTAAATTGAGGTGCAGCGTCATGTGGTCAGACATGTGACTCTGTTTTCTCCTCGTAGAACGCCATAGTGTCTGTTAAGGAGCTGTGTGGACTCCCTCCGATCGCCAGTCTGAAGCAGTGCCTGTTAACCCTGTCCTCTCGTCTCATCACCAGCGACAATGCTCCTTCTGTGACTCTTGTGATGAAGGACAGCTTCCCTTACTTGGAGCCTCTGGGTGCAATGCCGGATGTACAGAAGAAGATGCTGGCTGCATATGACCTGGTAGGCTATGGCTATTGCAACTTTCCATCTCTTACCTGTGTGTATGGAAAGCCCTAATAGGATCTTTGGTAGAATTCCAATGACTAGAACAGTTAGTGCCTGTAAAATATGTCTGGAGGTGGCAGTCAGAGGTCACTATTCAGTGTCCATCAAGCTCCTGTGATACCTCTGGGGACATGGCAGATAGAGTAGTCTGTGCTTTGACAAAGAGTGAATGATTTCTCAAGTCCTCAGAGCATGCCTCCTTTTCTTCTGGATGATGGCTCCTGTCAGGAAGAGACTTGGCTCTCAGTGCTATTCAGTGATGGATGGGACAAAAGGCTTGCTTGTAAGCATTTCTAAGCTAACTATGGTATCTGATTTTATTCTGACTATATAATAGAATTTATGTAGTGATTAGATTTGGGGATAACATTATTTTTATGTTACATTCTATAAACAAAATTAAAAAGCAAATGACAAAATGTAAAACATACCTAATTAGGTATAAATAAATATGCTTAATTAGAAGAGTACTTGCAAACCAGTAAGAGTAGAAAGATATAGAAACTTCTTATATCAGTCAATATTAAATTCTCCCATATGTGATGTATGAAGTTTTTAGAGACTAAATTGAAAGAAAATAAAACAATGTACCTTTTAAACAGCAACCAAATTATAGCTTAAAATGCAAACTTTCATTCAGAAATTTGGACATCAATTATCTGGAGGGATTCTTTTGCCAAGTTCTCAGGCACCCAGGTGCCTTCTGATTGTCTGCTCTTCTATTCCTAGAATGTACTCCATATCTTCGAGATTCAAAATGGCTGCCTGCACTCTACTTGTAGACATTTGCAGTCTACATATCAGAATGATGGAGAGGACACACCCTCCTTTTAGGATATTATTTACAAGAAAAACATTACTTTTCCTTCCTGTTCATTAGCCCAAAGTTGATACATTTAATTGCAAAAAGCAATGTAAACTGTCATTTCAAGGGGGCCAAAAGTTGTCTCTAGATTCTATTACTAAGAAGTAGGAGAGACTGTTTATCAGGGCACATAGTAGACTCTGCTACAGAAGTCAGTAGGCAGCCCCTTTCACCTAAAAAAAAAAAAAAAAAAAAAAAAAAACTATCAATGGAATGTACAGAACATTTAACTTTAAAATAAGTTCCCAATCAGATAAGTTAATAAATTGAATTCAGCATGATGGTGAACCCTTATAGCCTCAGCTACTCTGAGACTGAAGTGAGGCAGTTATTTGAACCCAAATGACCAAGACAGGTCCAGTCTTGATAAAATAACGAGACCCCCATGTCTTGAAAATACTATAATGAGATATTCTCCCTTCTATTAAATCATCAGCTATGCCCTGCCCCTTTAATCATGGTGCATTTAGTCAGAAATTTAAGAAGACAAGTGGCTGGGAGATAGTTCAGTGGGCCAAGTGGGCCAAGTGTTTACTGTGTAAGCGTGATGACCTGAGTTTGAATGCCCAGTGTCCACATAAAATGCCACATGTGTGACCAAGGTGCTGGGAAATGGAGGCCAGTGGATCCCTGGAGCATTCTGGCCTGCCAGTTAGCCCAAAGAGTGAAGATATGCCCATGTTTAAAAATGTGGCATACAGCAATGTTACCTGTGGTTCTTGCTTATGTTTCAACGATATACACATTCTCTCTCTCACACACACACAAAGAGGAATTTGTAAGATCACTATTCTTATTTCTCTTCCTGTAGTGCAAAAAATAAATTGTTATATACATTGCTTTCTGGAGAGAAGTTTCATGAAACAACTTAGAATGCTTGTTCATTTGATCTATGCGTTTCTTTCTTTAGATTTATTGTTAAGGTTTGTATATATATAAATATTGGATGATCATAATGTCAAGATGAGGGATTAGCTAAGTTACAGACAGGAACCCAGGAACTGGAAAGATGGTTGAGCAGATCAGAGCTGTGTCTGCCTTTGCAAAGGAGCCAGGTACCATTCCCACTCCTCCAAGGAAGCTCACATCTGTTTGTAACCCCAGCTTCAGAGGATCCCACTTCCTCTTCCGGCCTTTCTGGGCATCTGCATAAGCACATGTAGCACAATTTGTATAGTTACATAGATAAAAATAAAATAAATTTTTAAAAGAGAAATTCACTAAATGGACTCCTTTGAAATTGTCAAAATTAGTTATTTAGAGGGATAGCAATGATGTGGTGGATAATTCAAGATGTTTTGTGAAGCAGTATGGTGGTAATAAGGTATTGCAGTGAGATTTCAATTGCATTTGCATGTAGTGAGATATCCACCATGTCTACAACCGTCCCAGCTCACTCTTTTGTTTCCTGGCCGGGTTTTGGAGAGCAAGTTGAGGTCCAGAACCCCAGACCTAGACTTCCCCATCATGTCCACACCTGTGCCCACACCCAAATGGGCGTGGTCATTGTAACAGGTATGGGTGGGGTGGGATGATATCTCATTACATTTGCATGTAAATGCACATGCAAATAATATATGTGCAATGAAATTCAACTTGCATTTGTATATATATGCACATGAAAAGCATGTGTCATGCTAGGAAGACATTAACAGTGATTTGTTTGTCATGAGTGAATTTTATTTTCTTATTTCTTCTTTTCTATATGCTTCCTGTATTTGCCAAATTCTTTTTAACAAATGGCAGATTTTACAATCCAATATAATAACTGTCAGTGAAGAGAATACTAACATTTTACCATTAAAGTAGCTAGGAGAAAAGCATCTGGTATAAACATTTTCTAAAGGAAGTGGGAAAACCTCCATTGGATGCGCTCTGCACACAGATGCTTGGACCAGGCCTGCCTGGGGGAGGCTCACCTATTGCCTGTGCCACATTTTTCGTGAGATCAATTTTTTCTTCATAAAAGTGGGGATTGAAAGCTGTTCAGTGAATAGGTATAATTGCCATCTAAGAGGTGAAATTAGGGTACTAGTTGCCATAGAGACAGACAGTAGACACCACTTATTTCCTTGTAAGTTAAGAAAGGAAAATAATCTGTTGCGAGGGCAGCCAGCTCCGGGAGCTGCTGGCTCTGCGTTGAGCAGAATGGCTGCTGGGCTGTGGTTGGGCAGTGTCTGCTTCACATCCCAAGCTCCCGGTGGCATTTTGTCCTTTCTGTTTTACCTGATAAAGTCCAAATCTTAATGTTAGCCTTTGTCTCATCTCTGTTTTTAAAACACAGTTTATAAATTGAGGGCATAGCTGGGTCTTCACAGACTCTGAATAGTTGACCATGAAAAGCAGAAATACTTACGTGTAGAGTAGTCATAATTCCCTGTGGAAATGACTTCTCATTTTGGTGGGAAATTGAGTGAAAATAACCTGCTCCAAATTGTGCTATTTCTTTTGATGGTGCAAAGGGTGTGGCGGGTGGTGGTGCCTATGACGCCATTGACCCTGAAAAAGGAATCATCATTTTCACTGTGTAGGACTGTGCTGTCCTGGCAAGTATCGTTCTGCTGTTTGTGAGTGTTTGTGTTTACTTTGGAGAAGTTTCCTGAGATACTGTACAGACTCAGAGTAATCATGTAAAAATATGGACTAGATTGTGTCACAATGCTTCATCACAATGCTTGCCTGTCTGTCTGTCTCCTGGTGTGTCCTCTTTCTCCCTCCCCCAGTTCTCTCTCTCTCTCTCTCTCTCTCTCTCTCTCTCTCTCGCTCTCTCTCTCTCTTTCTCCTAGATTCTTCCTCCTGCTTATGATCATTGCCTGCCATCTGTGCCTATCCTATTGGCTGTTCAGCTTTTTATTAGACCAATTAAGTGTCTTTGGCAGGCAAGGTAAAACAAATGCAACAAAATTTTACATAGTTAAACAAATGTAGCATAAATAAATGTAACACACATTTATGTAGTTAAAGTAATATTCCACAACACACCACACTACTCAGAAGCATTGAATAGTAATCTATTCCATCTTTTAAAAATAATTTCTCTTATCTTTTCTTGATGCATCAACTTGAATGTGTGCTCCATGAGGATGGAGATCCTGTTTGCTTCACACTGTTCTCTTTAAAACAGTGCTAGCGTGCAATATGTTAAATCAATTTTAGTTGATTAAACAAGAGCTTTAAGCATCTGTTGCTAATACAAACAATGCAGTTTTATCCCATGGTGGCCCAAGTTTTCATGCAACAGTCAAGAAGTATTTGCTAAATATATTGTAACTTTTAATGTGTTTTAAATTGCTATGGAAGCTTTTGGGTAGTTTGTTTTGTGAATGCACCTTTCAGAGGTAGGTTAGTTGTAGAGGATTGCAACTGTAAAATGCAAGCCAGAGTGTTCTTCAAAGGTGACTTCTGAACTGAATTATTTAACATTAGCATAAAAGTTAAAACTTTACTCTGGTAAGAGCAGCAGTTTCTGATGGTGAAGATGGCAGACAATCTAGAGAACATGAGTTGAGGATTAATCATTTACTAAGTCAGTTGGGTTTGATCTGGAAAGCAGCTGGGTGTGCTGGCACAAGAAGGAATGTAACAAGAAAGAATCAACTGCCAACTAATCATATCTGGCAATTGAACTAGTGGAGGGTATCACAATTAAGCCAAGAATAATGGGTTGGATTAACCATACTCTGTTATGTAGTATTATTGCCAAAAGATAGCTTCAAGTAGGAAAAAAGTTGTATGTAATTTTCTAAAGTACCCTCTCTCTCCTCTTTCTCTTACTTCTCTCTCTCTCTCTCTCTCTCTCTCTCTCTCTCTATATATATATATATATATATATATATATATATATTCCGTGTGTATCTGTTTACATGAGTACATGGGCTTGCAGAGGTCAGAAGAGAGTGTTAGGTCTGCTGGAACTGTAGTTACTGGAGGCTGGGAGCCATCTCACTTGGGTATTGGATTCCACATTTGAAGGAAACAGCATGTACAACATACATTCTTATCTGCTGATCCATCTCTCCAGTCCCCCTCTTCCCACAACATAGTTTTGCTTATTGTAAGCAATCTAAGTTGAAATAAGTGAATAAATCAGAGTAATTCTTCTTCCATCACTGTCTCATTATAAAGCTTGTGTAAGTTTTCTATTAGTTTGAAATTCAAAAATATATTGGTTTACACAGCAATTGAATTTATAAAACTAGCTCTAACTTGCATGTGCTCAACTAATGCTAGTTATTTTTGTACAATAAACTTAGTGCACAGAGACCTCCTATTGGGTACAGCAATGTCTTCTGACAATTTTTTTGTGGGGGGGGGTGTTATAGAATGGAATAATTGCTGTCTTCTTGAGGGTTGACAATTTCTGTTGTTACCAGGTTCTTAACATTGAATATCAAGGATATGTCAACAAGCAATAATTTCGGGATGTTATTTGGTCTAACATAAATGCATCCTCATCTGACCTAGTGTTCCTTATTTCTCAGATTTTTGGTAACATTTTAGCTAAAGGCAGTGTGGTAGTCAAATTGGCCTTAAAATTAGAGAGAGGTTTCATGTGATGATTAATTTTGATTGCCAATCTGATTGGAACAGGAACACCCAGGGCTGAAATGAGGTACAACTTTGGATATATTTGTGAGAATTTTTTCAAAGAAGATTAATTAAAGGTGAAAGTCCTGGCTAGTACCAACATCCTCTTCCTTTGGCTTTCTGGTCTCCCAGGAAAGGGGCAAGCATCCTCACGATCCTACCACTACACCTTCCATTCCATGACAGGCTGTCCTCTCAGCATGAGCCAAAACCAAACGTTCCCTCTTCAGTTGCTTTTGTGCCTGGTATTTGCTCACATCAATCAAAGCAGTTCATAAAACTCTCCTCCCCCAGTGGTTTTTATGAATGAGATAAATTGTAATAAGAGCTGGGTCAAAACTAATATTTCAAGCAATTTCTCAAGATTAGTTGACAGCTGCTTTGGAAATAGAACAACTGAGATGTTACAATGTCCTTTTATGAAGAAAGCTGGCATGGCTGCAGAATTGTCACTACAAATGAGGAGAGACAGTTCTTTTGTTTGCTGTGCTCAGGTTCTGTTGTCCCACGCCATCATAAACCAGGCTGGGGAGTGTGACTCAAAACCAGTCCCAGTATAGGGAGCACATTGTTGCTAAGGTGGGAGGTGGCATGTGCTTCTGGGTAGCTGGCAGGTGTTCTGAGTTTTATATTTGTTTCTATTTCATGGAGAGTTGGCCATCTTCACGGGGTTGGGTGCTTAAAATAAAAAAGATCCCAATCCACAAATGGTGGTTGTATATGTTCCCTTTAACATAAAGCACTCAAAACTAAAGAAAACTGTCCTCATCAAGTTAGCAAATAACACATAACAGCAGTCCCATTTATAAATGTGCTGAGTTTAGTGGAACTCAAGTCTGAGTTTCAACAATTCAAACAGATGATCCACTGTTTTTACTAGAATGAAGGCAATAGTTAGATGGGTCTTAAGGGGAGAGAACAGAAATAGTTCTGTATAGCTTCTTAAATATTCTCAAGCAATATCCCATCCAAAGTTCCAGGTCCTTCCTAAAAAATGTAGGGATGTAAATCAAAGCACTTCTACATATATTGCATAGGAAGACTGTTGATGATGACTTGTGTGTTCCATGAATCATTTTTGGAAGGAGACACAGCCATGGCAGCTTTCATTCTCATGATGCTTTACCTGTTGGATGCTGCTAAGTGATGATGCCCAACTTGTTCTTGCAACAGTCAACCTCTAACACCGATTGCAGAGTAACTCATAAGCTTGGGTGTGCTGCTCACAGTGCTGGTGTATTAGGCTCTATTATTTCTCTAACCTTGTGCCTTTGGTCCAGTCATCTTTCAGCTCAGTTTTTGTCCCTACAAAGTGATATTGCCCACAGCAATCTAATCTTAAAGTGACTCTAAATATGAAGTTATGTGCGATGCTGAACTTCAGTAGAGTTCTAGTGAAACCTGGTGTCTATGGAGGGTTTGAGTCATGATAGGATGGAAATTTTACGATTCATCAGTCCAGCTTCTCTGTCAGATCTAGGAGACACAGTCTCACAGTAGGTTTTCTGGTCCTCTTGCTCTTACAGTATTTTTGCTCCCTCTTCTCTGATAGTTCCTGAGAATTACATATAGGAACTGGGTTATGGATGTCAATTGGGGTTGGGTACCCCACATTTAGTTTTTCTCTATTTTGACCAGTGTTAGCTTTCCATAATGGTCTTCTGCTACAAAAGAAACTTCTTTGTTGAAGGGTGAGACCTACACTCTCAGGCTGGGCCTGAACACAGGATCTGCAGGCTAGAGTGGGTCTGGAAGTTGTATACACAGCAAGTGGGTAAGGTCAGGAGACAAAAGGGGCGTGGCTACAGTGGGTGGTGAGCATCCAGCAGTTAGCAACTGTGGAAAGCTGTGGTGTCACCCAGACCTATAGAAATAAGGGGCAGCTATTGTTAGACCTTAGTACTTTCCTATACCTGCCCCTGTCTGGAACTATTGCCTTTCAGAGAGGGAGTTCTGAAACTATAGCGCAACAGAGAGGGAACCATGGAGATGCAATTATGTGAATGAACTCTCTGCTCTATTGCTTCCTACTCCTGATCCTTGTTGGGGGGATCCCAAGAAGAGTCAGAAGGTGGGAGAGTATGCATGATACTACCCACAGTAATCAACCTCCCTAACCTGAGCCTGAGCCTGGATTGAGAAGGGCAAGCGGAATCGCAGCACCAGTAATACTTAGTGTTTACTGTAAATATTGTGAGAATATTCTCATCATAAGCAATATAGGCATACTAATATCCTAGCATGTACACAATAACTAGATCAGAAGTAGAAACCAGTGTAACATTTTCCTGTGTTCTGTGTGTGTGCCTGGAAGGTCTGATCAAGCCATTATTGTTCTTCAGATCATGTTGTGTCTGGGGAAGAAATCATGGAGAGTGCAGGCGAAGGTGCTGTTTACCTGAGCTTTTGAGGTTGTTTTCATTTTCTCTGTTGGGGTTCATGCAATTTAGAACAATATAATATAAAGAGGACCACTTTCCTGCTCTACAGCCATTTGCAAGTGGAGATACTCTGGAAGATACTGGAGTGGCATAGTTAAGATCTAGACAACAGTAGTGACATGCTTCAGCTATGTTAAATGTGGGCTTTGTCCAACCTTCGTGAATGTTTCTCTTGTCTGAATATTCTCTCCTTTTCTTTCCTGCTATTTAGCCCTGGCTGGCCCGAAACTCACTGTGTAGTCCTGATTGACTTTTGCTAGGTAAACAGGCTGGCTTTGAACTTGTAGTCACTCTCTTGATCCTGCTTGCCACGTGCTATGGTTAGAGGCATGCACCACAACACTGGGCACCACTCCTTGGAAACTGAAGGTGTTAATGTAAATCACAGTTTGATTATGTCTACACCTTCACAATTTTTATGGTGTTGATTACTAATTTGTAACTTGTATTCATTTATACAACAATTATTACTTTGTACCCACTGCATGTGTGGTATGTTATACAGTTGGGGCCATTGTTAGAAAGGTGATACTTGTCTTGATGTCTGGATGAGAGCTGGGACAGAGATTTCCCATCTTTCGCCATCTCTCATGATGGTCCCTCATTCCTGGGTGTATTTTTGAGAACATCTCTATACATTGCCTTCTCAATGAGCCTAATGTTTAAGGGTTTCTAACAACTTCTTGATGTTTTGGGACAGGTGATTCAAGAAAGCCGGGTCCTCATAGAAATGGCAGACACAGTCCAGGAAAAGATTGCACAGTGTCAGAAAGCAGGTAATATTTTATTTTCTACTTTGCTTAGAAATCACAATGACAAGAGAAGGTGTGGGTGTAAATATTTCACTAGACCCAAGATAAATGATAAATGGGTGTTATTGGGGGGGTTACTTACACAGATAATAATGAAGAACTGTGGGAGCACTTCTCTGCTCTTCCTAATGGATCAGTTGACCCAAGAGAAAGACCATGCAAAAAGAAGCCATGCCTCATGCTTCTCTCTTTGTGCTTCTGTCCACCTGAAGCCTCACCCAAAGGCATGTGGCCACTGCTACAGGTTCACCAGCAAGACCACTACAGACAAGTCATAGCAGCTTTAAAAAAAAGCATATGTTCTCCACTTAAAATTAATACATTTCATGGTAGCATCTATAATTTAAGTTGAAGCCCTCTTCATAGTTAAGATTTAAACCATAGTCCTACTTACTTCTGTGTTGTTGTCCTTCTTCATCCTCATTTTAGATTTGTTCCTTGTTCAAGGATGGGAGATGTCACATATCTTCGAGTATCCACCTGTGTTTGTTTATTCTCACTTTTATCCACACTACTGAGCCTTTGTGGTTTAGATTCACACTGTCCACACATACAGTGATGATGATGAGGAGAGACAGGGCAGTGTCGACAGTTGCTTTATGAGTATGCTTGTGTTTGAAATCCATGCAGTACCTTACCTGGTCATCGTGACAACTAAGCATGATATCCCATTTTCAGATGGGACAATTAAGAGGCTGGCGAATGATCCAAAGTCCCATTACTAACACACAATAGAGTTGACTTATCATCACAGACTAGCATTGGTGCTCCCCTTACTAGACTGACAAGCATGCAACCTTAGATGTTGTAAATAAACACACACACACACACACACACACACACACACACAAAATAAAAAGCCCAAATGTATACAGGAGCTCAGCCATTCCTTTGCAATCTTTATACAAGTTGACCCATTTGATTGTCACCACAATCTAAATGAGACTTACTCCTACCATTTTACCAGTGAGGAGAATGAAGCCCTGTGAGTTTCAAGGGTAGTTCAAACTCACCCAACTAGTGAATCGGTGAACAAGAATGTAAGTCTGTGCTGTGTCCCTGCTGGTTCTAATAGGCTATATCTGTTACACAGACACCTGGAAAGTCAATGTGGTTTTAGGCTACTGTAGTACAAGGAAAGTGACTTGGGCAAGAAGAATGATAGCAAACCCTTACCCAGCGTGAGCTGCTTCAAGCCCAGTTAGGACACTGTCCATTCTGAGATGCAGCTGTCTATACTGCTCAAATCCAGAAAGTTGGCTGGTGAAGTGGTCCTGCCTGGATGCCCTCCCGAATGAGTCACCAGTAAGCAGACACATGGCAAATTGCTCACTGCAGGGCAGAGAGGATCCAAGGGGATTAATCCAATATCTTTCTTTAGACATATAAAGGGCTGGACTCAGGATAAGAGATCAAACCTTCTTGGTCTGAGGCCAGCTAGCACTGAGGACTGTAAGCTCTGGGAAAGGAGATCTTGGCTCAGGGTCAGTCCCAGTCCTCCAAAGATAGAACAAATTGTACATAAGAGAATGTGATTCTCATCTTGAAGTTCTAAGGGAAAAACTGAAGAAACAGATGATAACAATTTTGTTTATGACATTCAAGCTTGAGTGAATGGTGGACCAAAGAGTACATGAAAGGCCACTCCAAAATATGAAACACATGGGTGCTCCTAAGTTTGTTGTTTTTAAAAGTCTTTTTATTTGGGGTCAAAGCTGATAATCACTGTTTTACCTGCATGGGTTCTATGGCTTGCTTTTAAGCCATAAGGTTGGTTCATTAACAAAATCAAGAGATATATACACTCACATGAGGTTACCACCATACCCTACACCTTTCCATACAAAAACCAGGAAAAGGACTTGTAAGGTCAGTAACATCTGCTAGGAGGTTCACTTCTTAATTTCTCTTGTATTTATCTATGCATCCAGGCTGCTTAAAATGAAATTTAGCCCCTGTATCACTTACTCCTAGATGCCTTCTACGTGGGATGAATACAATGGACAGAATTCAATTCAGGGGTTTAGAAAATTATGAGAGGTAACAGGAATGTGAATCTGTATTTTTCTGGTAGTATTTTCATGGTACAAATGCATGTTTTCTTGAACTATGCTCTAACATTCTTTATGTGTGTTCTTTCCAAAGGGATGGAGTTCCACGAAGAACTTCATAATCTGGGGGCAAAGGAAGGCTTGAAAGGAAGAAAACTCAACAAGGCGATTGAGAGCTTTGCTTGGAACATTACTGTGTTGAAGGTACATGGGCACCCTCACTGCCCCTTTTGCCTTTATTTCTCTCCTCTCCAGGGTAGAGAGAAGCATCATCAGCTAAATACAGAGATTTGAATTTTAAGCCAGGAGGGGCCTGATTGCCAGGTTCAGCTCTACGTGATGGGGAGACAAAGCCTGGGCAGAACTTGATTTAATATTTCTTAATAGAACAATGATTTTCATGATGGAGGCTGAGAGTAGTATATGAGTGAGACCTAATTTTATTGGTGTGTGTGTGTGTGTGTGTGTGTGTGTGTGTGTGTGTATGTGTTTATGAGAACACTTATGCAAGTCAATATTTCTGTGCTCATTTGAAAAGTCATGCTTAATGCTGCTGGGAGGGTTCCAACATAAGACATTTGGACAGTCTTGCACTACAGAATATCTGGGTCCACTTAGGATTTTTATTTTAAGAATATTTGTTATAAATATATTTCTCTTGAATATGTTTTGGAAACCAGTCTCTTGACATTGTAATTTGCTTTCTGCTTCAAATTAATTTTGGAATTTGAAGTGAGGATAGCATGTTTTATGTTTTCTTACATGAAAGAAGAATTGACCTATGTGGTTAGAAAAACTTACCATGGAATTGTGTTGGAAAAAACAACCATAAACAAAAATTAATAATTGTTCACACATAGAGAATGCCTATTGTGTCCAATGCCATTTAGTGGCAGTTATATGGAATAATAATTTAGTGCAACCCCTATCACTATCACTATCATTTTACAGGTGAGGAGCACATTGGGATCTTATGTATTACTTAAGGTCCCTCAGGAGTCTAGCTGAAGTTTGAACCCAAGGCCCTGTCTTGAACCTACTTCATATCTCTGTGACAGTGTGAAGTGAGCTGTAAGACATATCTCACATGTGTCTTAGAAATTCAGTTCAAATGTGCTTATTAGCTCCTACTGTGTGATATGTGTGGTAAGCATTGACAGAACACAGATAACAAGAGTTATAGACTTAGGCCCCATTAAATTAGCAGCCTGAGGCTGTGGTAGAGATGGGCTTTGTTTGTCCCATCCTTTGTGGGCTTGGGTTGTAGCATTAGAAGAGTGCATTAGAACTTTAGCGCAAGATTCTTAAGTTTTTTCCACTTAAGAAAATTTTATGCAATGCTGGGTATATAGTTATATGAAACAGACATACAACTCATTTACTAATAATAAACATAACATGTTTATTTTTATAAAATTATAAAACATGTAATTGTACCATTCAAATGTTCACACCAATGAGATGGATGTCTTTATTTGCCTCTACATAAAGAATTAAATCTTGGCTGCACATTTGAGCATTTTCAGTGTTTCTTATATTTTGATTTTATTCTCACCAAAGCTAAGGCAGACACTTTGTTTTGTACAGAAGGCAAAAGCATGATTCGAGCCATTTCAGAAACTGTTGAAAACTCTGCCCTGATCTTAAGCTGTAATTCATGTAATGATTGTTTATGAACCAAAGTTATCAACTCAAACAGCAATTTTAAAAATCAATAGTTTTAAAACAAAACAAAAGTATACTGATATGTTATTTACATATTGAAGAAAGACAATAGAAACATCCAGTCTTTGTTTTTGATACTTAGGCTGTCCTGTTTCCATAAGGACAGAACATTTTGTATATATAGTGAAAGCAATACACAATGTTGAATAGTATCAAATAAAAGCTGAGGTCTTTAGACAGTTTTTGCCAATGTGATAACATGCACTGTGCAAGCATACATGTTGTGTGTTCAGAACTGAAGCTGCTATGAAGTCAGGTGACACAGTCAGGCACTGCCAGAAACACAGTTCATTAAGTGTTTAAGTATTTGAGGTTTTATTTTTATTATTATTCATTTTATGGTCATGCATTCAGATTGTAATGCTCACATACCATTATGTAGTGTTACATAACATTGTGATCCAAAGTTGAACGAACTGGGCCCTAGGCCATAACACAGCTCCCTGAAATTATCATAAACCCTTTTTGAGCAGCATGTGTTTCTTTGGGCTTGTTGAAGGGCCAATCATCAAAAAAAAAAGTGCTTAGAGATCTTAAAATCAAGAATATATCACCTGGGTCTCCAGGACTAGGCTGGAAAGGGTAGATAGATGTATAACTGCTAAAAGTTATAACACATACATAATGATTCAGCATTTGAGACCAGCACTCAGAACTAGGTACTCATACTAGATGTATGCATATATTTGTAAAAAAAAAAATATGTGCATATTCCATTGCTTTTTCACCAGCTGTGTGGTCTGGCAACATCACATGTGACCTTGACTTTCTATATCTTATAGATGAAGAAATTGAGGCTGAGGGAGGTATACATTCATTATCGAGTCTCATAGCAAGTAAATGGCAAGGTGGAGATTTTTAACTGGTTACCTGTAATCTTGATTGTTACTCTGAACTGCCTCCTAGAAGACTCCATCATGCTTCCAGATAGTTTTGTGCAGGGACAAACACATATGTATGTAGACTACTGGATAGTGGTGGGTGATGGGAGATGTCATTCTGTATATATGTTTCTCATACTGGTTAATGAATAAAGCACTGTTGGCCAATAGGAAAGCAAGATAGGAGGGACTAGGAGACAAGGAGGAAATAGGAAGTAGTAAGGAGGGTCAAGATGGAGAGTCTGGAGAGAACAGAACTGCCATCCCTCCGCTCTCGGTAAGACCACGTGGAAATACATAGAAATGGATTAATATTTAAGACAGAGCTAGCTGATAAGAAATTAGTAACGGGCCAACAGAATTATATCAAATACAGAGTCTCAGAGTGTTAATTGGGGCTGGCGCAGCGGCGGGACAAGACCAGTGGGCGGAGAAAACCGTACTCCTTACAGGTGGGATTTCAATGTCTCTGAGCACTGTAATGATGCCCATGTCCATGATTTGATGAGGGGTTAAGTGAGATAATATGCAAAAGAGCCAATTCTCAATGCACAAAACTGGATGGCATTGTGCTTTTGCTGTTACCTTTAGTTTTCCAGGTGAGACTTCTCCTTGAAGAGTAGGATTACTTTTGTTATTTTCATTTTATTATTAACTCCCGACATGTGCCCACTTAGTTTCCTAAGTTTACTCATATGTTTGTTTTCTTTAATGACAGAGTTGGTTTCTAGATGTGACTGAGCAAATGTTGTGTAAATCATTCCAAGACAGATCTTTTAAAACAGAATTGATCTTCTGTAATTATAGCTTGTGCACTGGCTGCTAGCATTACAGCCTGAGTACAGAATCCTAAGCAACAGTCATGGAATTTTCAAGATATAATTATTTCATTGGGAATATTTCAGTATGTCTCCCATTGGGTTAGGTGATCTTATTAATCATATGTCCATTATGCTAGAGTTAGAAAGTTACATCTTAGGAATTTGAATTATTGGGTAAGAGAATGAAGCCTGGGCTCTGCCCTATTGGAGATGTTTTTCCCTTGGCTCTCCTCTGAGAAGGAAGCTTTCCCTGTAAACCTTTCTTTAGCTCTTGTATTCACACTCAGAAAGATTAGCTGCTGATGGTTTCCAGTCTTGTCATTAATTCTCTAAGTTTTAGTAAATTACTCTTTCATATTTGAGTTCATTTCAGTCTATTTACTTGCATAAATTAGTATTAAGCACCTTGGAAAAACAGGATTTATCAATGGTGGGCGGGGCTCACCTATACAATTCCCAGTGCCTACTGTAAAGCTTCCTTATACTTCTTTAGAGCGGGTAGTCTCTAATATCTAGGGGAATGGAGTGGGGATTTATCAATACCAGTTAAATATGTGGATTTGTGTTTCTAAGGACATTTAATTTCAGTATAATTACCAAGTCAGAGTAAAACAGGAGAAAATGAGAAATGTGCTTAGTCACAGTGGGTTGTTAACATGGAGTGGTGGACTGGTACATTGGCTTTAAAGAAAATTGAACAACACTGTAGTCGCTGCAATGATGCAGTGATGGATGTTTCACATTTCAACCCCTGACTCGTTTTCATTATAACCAGTGGACCACATTGACTTTGCCCTGTTCTTCCCTCACATGTCAGCAGTCTCTTCCATCTGTCCTTCTCCATGGTGTCCTTCGGAAATGGGTTTTGTGTCTTAGTTTGTACTGTTGTAATAAAATACCTGAGACTGGGAAATTTATAAATGTCAATTTTAAAATGTTATTCTTTTTGTTCAGAAGGCCATTTAGTCCAAGATTTAGGCACTACCAGGTTTGTGATCTGGTGAGAGATGGTGTCTGGCTATTGTGTCCTCTAGGGTGGTAGTGTTGTAAATGTTGTGTCAAATGTCAGGAGAGAAGGAAGAACAACAAATTACAGCTAGTCCTTCAGACCCTTTTACAAGTCACTGACCTGTCCATGAGAGTGAACCTCATGACCTAATCAAACTGTATAGCCCCACAGCTTGATACTGTTGCATAGGGAATCCAAGTTGTTTCAACATTAGTATTAGAGGCGAAACAAGCATCTAACCACAGCTTTTCTGCTATTAGTGGGATATTAAACTATCACAATGGGAACTTTTTTGCTATTCCTTAAATTTCCCAAAGTAAAATACAGTTTTACTTACAGAGCCAATATACTGTTTTGAATTTTGGAAGACTGTCATTCATAAAAGTTCTCATCACTGATAAGAGCAGTTTGCTATGAGGTAGAGTTGATTTAAAGGCTTGGTTTCCATCCAGAATGATCTCACTCTTGAAATATGAAAATGGTTTCTCCGAACTCATGTCACATCTATAACACTAAATCAGAGACTTACACATAAACCAGGATGAGTTTTCCAAGTTATTTTTTTTTTTTTTTGCGGTTGTTGTTGTTGTTGGCCTGCTAGATACTTTAAGGAACTAAATTTTATTGTATTTTCATTTTAAAACAACTATGAATTTTTATCAGGCTGAGAATGGCAAAGTAGAGCCATCTAAAACTAAGACAAATATTTTATCATAAAAGAAATGCATCAACTAGAAACTCAGGGAAAAGAAAAAGTCCAGAAAGTGG